TCAACTTAAGGACAGACCTTGGGAATGGAACTTGTTCTTAAACTGGGGACTACCTGTACTGAACTCTGATAAAGTTACTATGCTCCCACTCCTTTAACCATACTATAGATGTATTCTCTCATCGTCCTGTTGGCTTGGGAGAAGGTACCTTATGGGAATTTAATAGAACTGCTTATACCTCGGTTGGGTTTATACATCACACTGAGCCATAGTGAGGTTTGTTTGGTTTTAATGTAATGCGGGTGAAACTAGTCTTATTTTAAATCATGACTTATGGCATAGTGTGAAGTAACTCCAATCAGTTGTGGCTTGTTCAATAAACTAGTTTTATCAAACTGTGCCTTATATTATGAACTCAGTCTATAAATAAGAAGTAAGGAATCTTTGAGGAAACAGGGTGAAACTCAAATATCCTACTCACCAATACTGGCTTGTCCATATAAATCCTTTTTTGTGAAACGGCAGATCTGTCAAATATATACTTATTCAAATTCTTTTCTGCCCTCGCATCTATCATTATCCTTCCCTTTAATTTTCAGATAAAAACAGGTGTTCATTCCCTTCTTCCTTCTCTGAATATATGTCTGAAATTCAGATGGGTTGCAATACTGTAATACTTATACAGTATTATACAATACTACTGTTCTGCCTTACATACACTCTCTGGAGGGAGAAACTGTAGCCTAGTTGGTGAAGTAGCAACAAGAGCAATGGCAGTGCTGGTGGGTGACAAGTGTTATTACTTTACATTTGCAATTATGGTAGAAATACTTCCCAACACTGGGCATCAGTAAATTAAACAAAAAACCGGGGTGCCTTTGCATTTGAAAAGCAAGTCTCACTTTAAATTAGCCACATTGCAGTCTTCAATGTATAGTTACCCAGCTTTTTGTCCTGCCAAGTTCTCAAGACAGCTCACATTAAAAAAATAAGGAACACATTCAAATTAGACTCAGTGTCAAAATTTCAGTTGATAATGCATATTATTCTACAGCTCTCTGCATAATGAAAGACAAACAAATCTGACAGGTAGAACATTTCAGTTCTTACACTAAATCAAAATTAATTTGGTTTTTGCTTCACATAATGGACAGACCTTTCTGCTTTCAGCTGTAAACCATGATTTCTTTCTTGGGGTAGTTTTGCATATTATGTTAAATTCCAAATATGTGACATTATGGTTTAGCAGTATACATCAGACAAAGGTTGAAAGGAGCCAGGTTTTAATATCAGCAAAGTGCAGTGATGTTACCATGCTAATGTATGCACAATGATGTTATAAAGCAAATGCAGCCATTACATAGTTGCAGCCTAATAGTTGATGCAAGTAGGAAAGTTACAGTGTTTATCTGATGATGTCAGATGCACGATTGATCATTTGCAACTCTGTTGATGCCTAGGGACCTAGAGCATTAACAACTTTGTGAATCCAATTGTAACCATTATTTCTCAGTATCTGGAAATGGGTTGTGAATATATACAGCCTAACTGGCTGATTTCAAAAAGCTAAACAGGACTAGTACTTGGATAGGAGACTATTAGGAAATACCAGGGCTGTAGATAGACTGGGAAGTTGAAAAAAAAATCTCAGAAGGCAGCAGGGGCAGACCCCTTCCATAATATTGACCTGAAAAGTACATGAACATATCCATGAAGTGATCAGGAGTCATGCTTTACTTGAAGAGAATTTTGTTTTTTTTAACAATCTAATGTTATTTTTATTACTTCAATTTACATAGCTGCCTGCTTGGAATATGACTCAGGGAAGTGTACATAATCAGTAAACAACCCACTGTTGAGTCCAACACAATGAACAAATTAAAAAAAAACTAAACATAAGGATATAAAGTAAATTAAAATAAATTAAACATAGGATGTTAAATTCTATTCCAGTGTGCTATATCCAATGCAGATATGCTGCATCTGGCCTGTGGTCTCTTTAGGAAAAGACTATAATAAAACTATTCATTGTCAACTATTGATATGCACACAGAAACGTTGATTGCCTCAACATTTTGAAAAGAAAGTTAGAGGTTGAAGACATACGAAGGTAGGTGAATAAGAACACATATTTGGCTTGAATTGTTTGTTGAGAAGAATGTTAACAGAGCTAGTATTTGAAGCATGAGGTTTCTTATAACAGCTGCCCCCAGTCTCATGCTCTGTAGGTATACTGGACTATAACTCTGACTCCCAATTATTCTAGTTTATGGAATCAAGCAAACAATGCCACATGGTGTTGTTATCAATTTCTGATCTCTTCTGGATAAAAGAACCAGCAAAGTCTGCAGCAACCAGTTTATTTATTTATTTATCAAATTTATACGCCACCTGTCTCACTATATAAGTGATTATAGGCAGCTCACAAATAAAAGCCATAAAAACAGTAAAAAACTACAAAAACAAAGTTAAAAGATAGAACATCCTCAAATCACCAGCCACGCCCAGTGCTGTGAGCCCCCATTGGATCCCCAAGCTAGTTGGCAGAGCCAGGTCTTAACACTCTTCCGGAAGGCCAGAAGAGTGAGGGCCAATCTCATCTCAGGGCAAGATATTCCACAGGGCAGGGGCAACAGCA